AACTTTTCTATAGAAAAAGTTGCTCTATTACAGACAACTTTTCTATAGAAAAAGTTGCTCTGTTACAGACAACTTTTCTATAGAAAAAGTTGCTCTGTTACAGACAACTTTTCTATAGAAAAAGTTGCTCTGTTACAGACAACTTTTCTATAGAAAAAGTTGCTCTGTTACAGACAACTTTTCTATAGAAAAAGTTGCTCTGTTACAGACAACTTTTCTATAGAAAAAGTTGCTCTGTTACAGACGTCTTTTCTATAGAAAAAGTTGCTCTATTACAGACAACTTTTCTATAGAAAAAGTTGCTCTGTTACAGACAACTTTTCTATAGAAAAAGTTGCTCTGTTACAGACAACTTTTCTATAGAAAAAGTTGCTCTGTTACAGACAACTTTTCTATAGAAAAAGTTGCTCTGTTACAGACAACTTTTCTATAGAAAAAGTTGCTCTGTTACAGACAACTTTTCTATAGAAAAAGTTGCTCTGTTACAGACAACTTTTCTTTTGAAGAGAAAAACTTGCCCTCTTTGAGTAAACTTTTCTGTAGGGGTATTGTTTCTTTTGGGGACAACTTTTTTATCGAAGTTGCCTTTTTGAAGCTATTTGCTCTATCCGAGGCAACATTTCTAAAGAAAAAGTTGTTTGTTGGAAGCAATTAGTTTAATTTTCAATTAAACTTTCTTCCTTTCTTTTCAGATATGGTGACAAATGGCAAATTGGTGATATTATTGGTGTAACCATAGATGTAGACAACGAATTGATAGAATTCTATCGCAATGGCAAATCCATGGGTCCGGCATTCGAGAAACTTGAAAAGGGACCAAATATAAGTTTTTTCCCAGCCATATCACTGGGCTACAATCAGGGGGTACAGGCTAATTTTGGTAACGCCCCCTTTAAGTATCCAGTACCGGGTTATATGCCTTTAATGGCCAAACCTTTAATATGTTTAGAAAAAGCCGATTTGCTGTTGGAGTATTTACAAAATTTAGCCTTAGTAGTGGCACGACATAATTGTGAAATGAGAAAAAGGCCTAAGGATGATAAATTATCCACCAAGAAAACGGTATATGTGGTGTTTTGTACCCTATTGATAGAAAAGTTGACGCCTTTGCTGTTTAACACCTATGTCATAGAGGACAAACTGTTGCCTTTAATGGGACAAATGTGCAATATGAAGTGAGTGTGTTAGAGTTATTAAAACTCAAAATTTTCCTGATTATTTTATGGTTTTTTAAAGAAATGAAACTGATTCCATATTACCCGGACATGCGGAGAGTATTTTAGGTGCTCTGTTGAATATATTTTGGAATTATTTAGAAGTGGATGAAATGAAGTTTCTTTTAAAGAAACTAGCCAATGCTATGCTTAGTAATTATACTCATACTAATAAGGGTTTAGACTATGAGCAACAGCGTCATGCCTTACAGATTTTAATATGTCTGTGTAATCATACACGCACTAGAAAAACCTATTTGGAACATAAGTTCTTCAAAAAACATTAGTAAGTTTATTTTGGATTTTTTTGAATTCTGTGAAAAAATTTAAATTATTTACGTTTTAGTTTGGCTTTATTAATGTATATACGACCACCGGAGTTTAATTATATGCAAAATTTAATACCCAATCATATGGCCTGGACTGAGGGTATTGGTGGTCCCAAAAGTAAATATATGGCTGTTGTGGAGAAAATAGCCAAGTCTACAGATTTCTTATATGCCTTACAAAAGACTCTATTGCTAACATTACTCACCAATAATGATGGTGATGATAAAACACCCTCTTCAAGTAAATTATTTTTAGCTAAACTACGTAGATATGTTATGGATTTGTCCATGGAACAAAGGGTAATATGAACATCATTATAAGGGAATAAAAAAACTTATTTTCTTTAACAATTTTAGCCTTTTCACTCTTTCTTCTTTATGCAATCGAGTATTTTACATCCCATTGAGAATACAGTGGCCTTAGCTTTCATTGGTATATTAGTTGATGTCACCAAGACCACCTTTGACAAGGAAATGCCTGGCAATGATATAGAAATTAAACCCAAATACTTTTACGATGGCAGTTTCGAGTATCAACATTATGATCGTGTGGGTGGGGTATTGTCTCACTTGCGTAAAGTGCATCGCAATGAAATACAACAGTATTTGGGTACGGAAAGAACCCAAGAGCTAATAGAAGATGACCGGGTTATTGTGAGAGTAGCAGAATTAAGTAAGTTTCTCTTTATTAAAACAAAACTTTAATATTTCTTTAAAACAACAATTCTATTTTAGCTGCTGATACTATAAATAATATTTCCATTATAGGTCGTTCTGCTGGGTATGTTTTTAACTATTTCAACAATTTCCTTAATTATGTTTGTTCAACGAGGTTTTCTCTTTTTCCTAGCAATTCGGCCACCTTTACCTCTTTTATAAATCCCCGGGTAACTAATACTTTAGAAATAACTCCCGGCAATAGTGACAACGAATCTTCTTTATTTCAATTATTGGATTTATGTGTTTTATATTATTACTGTGTGGGTCATAAATATATTGTTAAGGTAGTTTATAAAACCAAAATCTTCTAAGAAACTTATCTTTTACCTTTTCCTTTAATACTTTACAGATTGCCTCGGTACGCGATGAAATCGCTGCCTTAAATGATGTTCTTTTAGAAACGAAATACTATCGTGAAGATGTTGAAAAGAAACTGCAGGCTTTAGAAGATCATGCCAGTGTTTGTATGAATGATCAGCATTCTCATGTGGTTTCAGAATTAAGAACCAAATTCAGTCAAAGGGAAAATGTTTTTGCGGTATTTGTTTTATTTATTTCTACACTTTAGTTTAGTTTCTTAATAATTTCTGTTCTTTTATAGAAACGTTCGATTGATTTGGCTCGTAAACAGGCCTGGTTTAGAGCTGTGGCATTGGGTCAGAAGAAACGTCTATTATTAATTTGGTTATTGGAGAAAACTTTAAGAACCTTAAATGTAGGTCAACTCAACAGACGAACTTTTCCTATAGAAAAGTTGTCTCAAAAGGAACAACTTTATCAGAGCAATTTTTCTATAGAAAAGTTGTCTGAATCAGAGCAACTTTTTCTATAGAAAAGTTGTCTGAATCAGAGCAACTTTTTCTATAGAAAAGTTGTCTGAATCAGAGCAACTTTTTCTATAGAAAAGTTGTCTGAATCAGAGCAACTTTTTCTACAGAAAAGTTGTCTGAATCAGAGCAACTTTTTCTATAGAAAAGTTGTCTGAATCAGAGCATCTTTTTCTATAGAAAAGTTGTATGAATCAAAGCAACTTTTACTATAGAAAAGTTGTCTGAATCAGAGCAACTTTTTCTATAGAAAAGTCTGAATCAGAGAAGCTTTTTCTATAGAAAAGTTGTCTGAATCAGAGCATCTTTTTCTATAGAATAGTTGTCTGAATCAGAGCATCTTTTTCTATAGAAAAGTTGTCTGAATCGGAGCAACTTTTTCTATAGAAAAGTTGTCTGAATCAGAGCAACTTTTTCTATAGAAAAGTTGTCTGAATCAGAGCAACTTTTTCTATAGAAAAGTTGTCTGAATCAGAGCAACTTTTTCTATAGAAAAGTTGTCTGAATCAGAGCAACTTTTTCTATAGAAAAGTTGTCTGAATCAGAGCAACTTTTTCTATAGAAAAGTTGTCTGAATCAGAGCAACTTTTTCTATAGAAAAGTTGTCTGAATCAGAGCAACTTTTTCTATAGAAAAGTTGTCTGAATCAGAGCAACTTTTTCTATAGAAAAGTTGTCTGAATCAGAGCAACTTTTTCTATAGAAAAGTCTGAATCAGAGAAGCTTTTTCTATAGAAAAGTTGTCCAAATCAGAATAACGTTTTCTGTAGAAAAGATGTCTGAATCAGTGCAATTTTTTCTATAGAAAAGATGTCTGAATCAGTGCAACTTTTTCTATAGAAAAGATGTCTGAATCAGTGCAACTTTTTCTATAGAAAAGTTGTCTGAATCAGAGCAACTTTTTCTATAGAAAAGTTGTCTGAATCAGTGCAACTTTTTCTATAGAAAAGTCTGAATCAGAGCAACTTTTTCTATAGAAAAGTCTGAATCAGAGAAGCTTTTTCTATAGAAAAGTTATCCGAATCAGAGCAACTTTTTCTATAGAAAAGTTGTCTGAATCAGAGCAACTTTTTCTACAGTTGTTCTATAAGTTGTCTGAATCAGAGAAACTTATTCTATAGAAAAGTTGTCTGAACCAGAGCATCTTTTTCTATAGAAAAGTTGTCTGAATCAGAGCATCTTTTTCTATACAAGAGTTGCCTGAATCAGAGCATTTTTTATAGAAAAGTTGCCTGAATCAGAGCATCTATCTATAGAAAAGTTGTCTGAATCAGAGCATCTTTTTCTATAGAAAAGTTGTCTGTAACAGATCAACTTTTTCTAAATAAATATAAATCTGTTTTTTTAAATTCCATTTTTATAGGCCTCTTCCCATCAAGGCAATTTATTTTCCTTTGTACCCGAAGTCTATATCAACATATTACCCATACTGCTGGATACAGTAATGGATTTTAGTAATCACGATTTAGTAGTACAATTTGAGGTACAAGACTCGGAATGTGTTATAAGTATGGTGGCCGATTTCTTAAGTGTACACTCAGCAGATCCACGCATTATTTTGGCTTCATGTAAAGATTCTTTGCTGCAAGCTTTGGGTACATTAACATGCCATAGATCAGGTATTAAAGCATTGGAAAAAGCACCCAAGAAAAGGTAATAATGAAAAACGAAAATAAAGGAATCGTTGTAAATCTTAAAATTTTCTTTTTAACAGTCAATTAGCTTTAGTTAAAGCCTTATTGCGGCCTTATGAAAATCGTGCCTGGGGCCAGAGTAATTGGTTGCTATTGCGTTTCTGGTTGGGTGATGGTTTTGCTTATAGTGATGCCCGCCAGCCTTGTGTTTGGCAGGGTGGTAATTCGCCTTTACAAATAGGTCTCTGTCGTTCTCGTGCCAAAAATGAGACACATACTGGATTGCTGCATAATATAGCACCAGCAAATCCTTCGAAGCACTTTCAACAGCTAATAGGAGCAAAACTAATAGAGGATGAACCATTTGCAACGGCCTTTTTGAATTCTGTATTGAGTCAGTTGAATTGGGCTTTTTCCGAGTTTATATTACTTTTGCAAGAGGTTAGTATTTGATATAAAAGAAACTGAACTATTTTAATTATAATTATTTTTTATCAGATACAAAATACGGCTCATCGCCAGGAGAACACAGTTTTTGAACCCAAACAATTGAAGATTTGTTCGATGTGTTTTGAGTTGACTGTGTCTTTGATGCGTTGTTTAGAATTGATTATTACCGTGGCTCCCGATATATTTCATGATCAATGCCGTCCAAATAGTGATTTGGTTCTGAATCGTGTTTGTCAACTTATCAGTCAGGTTTTATCACGTGTCACCGTGCCTCCAGGATGTTTTCAATTTGTGGTCGATATGTGTTCGGCTGATTTAAATGCCGTTACTCACTTCCCCATTATAACGGCAGCATTGGGTATTTTGTTGGCTTTGTTTAAGGAGGAAATGGATAATGATAAGAATCCAACAAAGGTAGTTGTAAGTTTTTGTTCTTCTGTTGCAGACAAGTTGTTCTGATTCAGTTGCACTGATTCGAGCAACATTTCTATAGAAAAAGTTGCTTTGATTCCGTCAATTATTGTTAAGAAAAAGTTAGTCTGATTCATACAACAATTCTATAGAAAATGTTGCTCTTTTAAAGACAGACAACTTTTCTGTAGAAAAAGTTGCTCTGTTACAGACAACTTTTCTGTAGAAATAGTTGCTCTGTTACAGACAACTTTTCTATAGAAAAAGTTGCTCTGTTACAGACAACTTTTCTATAGAAAAAGTTGCTCTGTTACAGACAACTTTTCTATAGAAAAAGTTGCTCTGTTACAGACAACTTTTCTATAGAAAAAGTTGCTCTGTTACAGACAACTTTTCTATAGAAAAAGTTGCTCTGTTACAGACAACTTTTCTATAGAAAAAGTTGCTCTGTTACAGACAACTTATCTATAGAAAAAGTTGCTCTGTTACAGACAACTTTTCTATAGAAAAAATTGCTCTGTTACAGACAACTTCCATAGAAAAAGTTGCTCTGTTACAGACAACTTTTCTATAAAAAAAGTTGCTCTGTTACAGACAACTTTCCTATAAAAAAAGTTGCTCTGTTACAGACAACTTTTCTATAGAAAAAGTTGCTCTGTTACAGACAACTTTTCTATAGAAAAAGTTGCTCTGTTACAGACAACTTTTCTATAGAAAAAGTTGCTCTGTTATAGACAACTTTTCTATAGAAAAAGTTGCTCTGTTCTAGACAACTTTTCTATAGAAAAAGTTGTTCTGTTACAGATAACTTTTCTAAAGAAGAAGTTGCTCTGTTACAGACCACTTTTCTATACAAAAAAAAACCCTATTTATGACGTAAATTTTATTCTTCTAGGTCACCCGCATTACCCGAGCCCTTTTAACGGATCCCAGTTTTCAATTTGCGAATTTAGAATTTGCTTTGGGTGAAATAAAAACACCCATATTACAACAAAGTGAAATACCTAGAGGTAATTTTGATCCATCGACTAGACCTCATATAGATCCACTGACAAATGATGTAAGAGTTCCTCAACCTACTACCTCTACGAAAAGAATACGAGCAGATCCTCCCATACTAAAGTTTACACTAACAGATTGTAAGTTTTTTGAAAAGAAAATAAGAAAAAAACTTTTTGTTTATATTAAAATTTTCTTAAATCATCTAGTTCCAACCCATGTTACTGCCGAAGAAATCGAACGTGTACGTCGCCTTATTGATATGCTTAAGGCTAAACAATCTTTACTTTCCGATATTACCTTGCCTTCCGAAGATTCTCTCTGTCCGATCTGTTGTGCCAAACCCATAACTGTTGTATTCAATCCCTGCAAACATCAGTCGTGCAACAATTGTATACTCCAGCATCTAATGAATTCGAAAGTGTGTTTTTATTGCAAGACCCTGATCAAAACTATAGAGACCTCAGATGGTACAATTATCTATGAGAATGCCGAGTATGTGCAGACGCCATCATTATTTGAAGTTTAGTTTTCATTTAACAGAGTAAAGAAATCATCATAAACTCGCAATTAAACCCACCCACTCTTAAATTACACAAAAAGTAAATTAATTAACTTTTTCTATACTCATAAATGCTAGTCAAATATATACATACATATATAAATTATATACTATAGAGTATATTTTATAGATTTATATATAAGAAATATTCAATTATATTTAGAAAAGCGATAAAAACAGAAAAAAATATTTTAAGTCAAATTTTTACACTGCCTTTAGATTTTGTTATTGGTATTTTAAAAAAAGAACAAATTATTTATAGTGTATTTTCAACCAAGTAAAAAAAAAGCAAATTATAAATTCCATATTTTTATTAAAATTAAATTGTTAACCTATTTACTTAGTTTATAATTTATTTAAAACAGCTTTCAGTGTTTACTACAAAAGCTATGCATGAACAATTATTTTGAAAATCTAAATTTAGTAAAAGCATTTATTTAGTTTGTAAATTATTATTTTATGTTTAACACTTTCCGCTCCACAAAGATCTCTAATCACAAATTTTTAGATATTAAACGAAAAGAATATTTATTTACACAAAATCTATAGATTTATATTAAAAATTATTATTATTTTATGCTTGTAAAGCTTTTTTAAAACAATGAAATTTTTAAACAAAACAAAATTATGATATTAAATTATTTAGAAAAAAAAAATTCATTTTAAAAAGAAAAATTTTAAATAAAAAGCAAATCACTGCCAGTTGAAATTGGAAGGATAAAATTTGTGTGTTTTATTGAAAGGAAAAAATGGATAAGTATAAGAGTAGAAAAATTGTTGCTCTGATTAAGTCAACTTTGATGAGATTCACACAACTTTTTCTATAGAAAAAGTTGAATCACAGCAACTTTTTCTATAGAAAAGTTGTGTTTTCTATAGAAAAAGTTGCTGTGATTCACACAACTTTTCTATAGAAAAAGTTGCTGTGATTCACACAACTTTTCTATAGAAAAAGTTGCTGTGATTCACACAACTTTTCTATAGAAAAATTTGCTGTGATTCACACAACTTTTCTATAGAAAAAGTTGCTGTGATTCACACAACTTTTCTATAGAAAAAGTTGCTGTGATTCACACAACTTTTCTATAGAAAAATTTGCTGTGATTCACACAACTCTTCCATAGAACAAGTTGCTGTGATTCATACGGCTTTTCTATAGAAAAGTTGCTGTGATTCACACAACTTTTCTATAGAAAAAGTTGCTGTGATTCACACAACTTTTCTATAGAAAAAGTTGCTGTGATTCACACAACTTTTTCTATAGAAAAAGTTGCTGTGATTCACACAACTTTTCTATAGAAAAAGTTGCTGTGATTCACACAACTTTTCTATAGAAAAAGTTGCTGTGATTCACACAACTTTTCTATAGAAAAAGTTGCTGTGATTCACACAACTTTTCTATAGAAAAAGTTGCTGTGATTCACACAACTTTTCCATAGAAAAAGTTGCTGTGATTCACACAATTTTTCTATAGAAAAAGTTGCTGTGATTCACACAACTTTTCTATAGAAAAAGTTGCTGTGATTCACACAACTTTTCTATAGAAAAAGTTGCTGTGATTCACACAACTTTTCTATAGAAAAAGTTGCTGTGATTCACACAACTTTTCTATAGAAAAAGTTGCTGTGATTCACACAACTTTTCTATAGAAAAAGTTGCTGTGATTCACACAACTTTTCTATAGAAAAAGTTGCTGTGATTCACACAACTTTTCTATAGAAAAAGTTGCTGTGATTCACACATCTTTTCTATAGAAAAAGTTGCTGTGATTCACACAACTTTTCTATAGAAAAAGTAGCTGTGATTCACACAACTTTTCTATAGAAAAAGTTGTTGTGATTCACACAACTTTTCTATAGAAAAAGTTGTTGTGATTCACACAACTTTTCTATAGAAAATGTTGCTGTGATTCACACAACTTTTCTATAGAAAAAGTTGCTGTGATTCACACAACTTTTCTATAGAAAAAGTTGCTGTGATTCACACAACTTTTCTATAGAAAAAGTTGCTGTGATTCACACAACTTTTCTATAGAAAAAGTTGCTGTGATTCACACAACTTTTCCGGCAATTTTTGCACAGAATAAAATACACTAATTCAAACACCGTTTTATTAGAAAAAGTTGCTCCGACTCTGGCAACTTATCCTTAAATAATTCAGTCCACATTTCATTACAAAAAGCCACCCTGATTAAAAAACTTTTTGTTTTGATTATTATTATGAACAAGACAGAACTGACCATGTTTAATATTTCTTTTGTTAGCCTACGGCTGCCGGCTGTCAACATATTGCTGCTGCCCCACATAAGTTTTGGTAAAAAAAATAATTAAAAATTTAGCACTTACCTGTTGCTGGAACTGATATTTGTTAACTTTTTTACCGTTTTAATTAAATTATTAAATCACTTTTATTTATTACCTATCTGTAGGTTTATAATTTTATTTCCATTTAACAATTGGCAAGCCACTTTTTTTGTTTATACTTTGTTGGTTGTTTTGATTTTTTATAATTTTTAAAACATTTACACATTTAACTATAATAAATTAACACTAAAAACCAATAATAATACAATATTTTATTTATTTAATATAACTAAAACTTTTTTGTTAATATTTAATACAATAATTTAACTAGAGCTTTCTACTACTCGTGGTGTTGTTTACAACTAAACTGAATGTAAAAAGGAGAAAATAAAAAAAAATGACTAGTGAAATGAAGGAGAGAAAGAGAGAGAGTGAGTGAGAGTTGTTTGTTTTTATTTGCTTTGGGTTGTTGTTTTGATTAATCTTTGACATACATACGTATATTGATCATCAAAATGTTGAATAAAAATTTTCGAAGGATATCACAGGATATTATCCTTTTTGGCCTGAACCAAAGTGTTTGTTGTTTTGACTAGATGTATAGCAGAGTGTTTTGACTATTTTAAGTTGACATTTATTAATTATTTAAGCAAATTTTTACAGGTTGTTTAGTATTTAGAAGTTAATAACAAAAAAATATTTTAAAATTGTACTAAAAAAGCGTACTAAGTCCATTTAAATTTTATATTAAACAACTTTTTGTATTAAATTTCAAAAATATAAACGAGTATTTAATTAAAAAACATTAAATAGATATTATTTTAATATTTTCTTTTGTTTTCAAAATAACACTCTAGTCCTTTGACTTATTAACTAATTTTTGGATATGCTTTATTCCTAACTATAGTTAAGTAATTACATACTTGTTTTCTTGTTTATTTTAATTTAAAGAGTATTTTTTTTAATATTTATATATAGAGGCAAAAATAATTTATATTTCTTTTACTAATTTATCTATGTATTTGGTTTTTCTTTTTTAGAATTTTTTTCCAAAATATATATATTGTCCTTTTAAGAGGTATACTAATGTATAGTTTCCTTTAATTATATTTAATTTATTTTGTATAGAATATAGAAACTTTAAAACATTATTAATTTGACGTTTTGCAAGGGAAATAAATTGGAAAAGGAAACGAATTACAATAAATTTCAAAAAATCAATATACATTTTGGAATCCTGTCGAAATCAGATTAACTATTTCTATAGAAAAGTTGTCTGAATCAAACCAACTTTTTCTAAAGGAAAGTTGTCTGAATCAGATCAACATTTTTTATAGAAAAGTTGTCTTAATTAAATCAACTTTTTTATAGAAAAGTTAACTCAATCGGATCAACTTTTTCTATAAAAAAGTTGTCTCAATCAACTCAACTTTTTCTATATAAAAGTTGTCCGAACCAGATCAAGTTTTTATATAGAAAAGTTATCTGAATCAGATCACCTTTTTATAAAGAAAATTTGTCTAAATCAGATCAACTTTTTATAAACAAAAGTTGTCTAAATCAGATCAACTTTTTATAAAGAGAAGTTGTCTAAATCAGATTAACTTTTTCTAAAGAAAAGTTGTCTAAATCAAAACAACTTTTTCTATAGAATAGTTGTCTCAATCAGATCAACTTATTCTAAAGAAAAGTTGTCGAAATCAAATCAACTTTTTCTATATAATATTTGTCTCAATCAGATCAACTTTTTATAAAGAAAAGTTGTCGAAATCAAATCAACTTTTTCTATAGAATAGAAAATCAGATCAACTTTTTTTATAGAAAAGTTGTCTTAATCCAATCAACTTTTTTTATAGAAAAGTTGTCTTAATCCAATCAACTTTTTTTATAGAAAAGTTGTCTCAATCGGATCAAATTTTTCTTTAGAAAAGGTGTTTCAATCGGATCAACTTTTTCTATAGGAAAGTTGTCTGAGTCAGATCAACTTTTTCTATAGAAATGTTGTCTAAATCAAATCAACTTTTTCTATAGAAAAGTTGTTTTAATCAACTCAACTATTTCTATAGAAAAGTTGTCTCAATCAACTCAACTATTACTATAGAAAAGTTAACTCAATCAAATCATATTTTTCTATAGAAAAGATGTCAATCGGAACAACTTTTTTCCATTCCCTTATCCATTAAATTTCCCTTTTTGTATTTGCTATTTTCTTAATTATACTAAAAAATTTTAAATTTGTACCCTACATACTTACTAGTTTACACATACAAAATACTTAAAGCGTTCAATATTTTTTTTTTTTTGAAATTCAATTCAAAACAATACGAGGAGTATCCAAATAATATCCAGTTGTTTCGGTTTTTTTGTTTTCTTAAATTCATCAATCTTTCATACTTGATAGTTAAAGCCACTTTTGAAAACCATTGCTTTTGTTTAATAAAGATCCTAAAAAGGAAAATAGACTGGTGTCGCGGACAAGAGTCTAAAGTATTTCGCAGGCATTCGAGTGCATACGATGTGAGTGTCGGCCATTGGAGGAGTGCGGTGTATAGCCTGAACAGCAGGGATGTATGGAAGCCGTATGGCGGGCATGACTGAAACTTTGACTTGTGCTGATTTTGGTGGAGGAGGAAGGTTCATGTACATGGTGACAAGGAGCGTGATGCATGGTGGGGGCGTGACCATGACTGTGCCTAAAATAAAGAGCAAAATTATACGATTTCCAAATTTAAATAAAAACTATATAAAAAAAAAACTTACCCATGACTGCATATATTGGAATCTGATATTGAATTTGCCATATGTCTAGGAGGTGGTGGTAGAAACAGTGGACAACCTCCCTCCATATCCATATCATCTTCACCATGCCCCTGACCCTGTATACGATCGCCAAAAACATCATGTATTCTCATGGAGTGTGATGTTTTCATTTGATGTTCACTCTCTGTGACTTCTTCGATCATTTTGTCCAATTTCTCTATAGCTTTAGTTTGTTTGGCCGCCAGAAAAGCTTTACGCGCTGCCTTAGACATGGGCAGGGGCGCTGACAGTGAGCGCATGGGTGGAGGTGAATGCATAGATATTGAATCCTTGGAGGTGGAACGACTGTCAGTAAATGCCAGTTTCTTTTCAGAGGTTTGCTGCAGCTGTTTTTGTTGCTGCAAATGTTTTTGTTTCATTTG